AAACTTGTGTATCCTGCCTCAAAGGAAAAATGACCAAGACTCCCTTCAAAGGGAAGATGGAACGAGCCGAGGGTCTTTTGGATTTGATCCATTCAGACGTGTGTGGTCCACTAAGCGTTAGTGCTAGGGGTGGTTTTAACTACTTCGTTACCTTTACCGACGATTACTCTAGGTATGGTTTCGTGTACTTAATGAAGTATAAGTCTGAAACTTTTGAAAAGTTCAAGGATTTTAGACACCAAGTAGAAAACCAACTCGGTAGACGTATTAAGAAACTACGATCCGATCTTGGTGGCGAATACTTAAGTACTGAGTTTATAGACTATCTTAAAGAGAATGGGATTCTGTCTCAATGGACTCCTCCTGGAACTCCTCAACTTAATGGAGTTTCCGAACGTCGGAATCGAACACTCTTAGACATGGTTCGATCTATGATGGGGTTCACCGAGCTACCGGCATACCTGTGGGGTCATGCACTCCTAACCGCCGTATATTTGCTGAATAGGGTTAATACCAAAGCAGTTAACTCCACGCCTTATGAACTTTGGCACTCCAAGAAACCCACGTTTAAACATATTAGGATATGGGGTTGTCCCGCTTACGTGAAGCGGCTAGTGGGAGATAAGTTGGATAGAAAATCCGACTTATGCTATTTTGTGGGGTATCCCGAGGATTCCATGGGATACGAATTCTACTATGTTTCCGAGGCAAATGTGTTCGTCTCGAGAAATGCCGTGTTCATTGAGAAGGAATTTCTATCGGATAGAAAGGGCAGTGTAGTTGATCTCGAAGAAGTTCGAGAACCACAATCTGAAGTTCAAGCACAACAATCAGATAATGAACCAATTCAACAAACCACTAATATACCTCCTGAACCGTCGCTGCGTAGATCCGAAAGAGTTCGGAGAGCGCCCGATAGGTTATTCCTCGTTGATGAAGTTGACCAAGGATGTGATCCTAGAACTTTCAACGAAGCTGTATCGGATACAGACAAGGGACATTGGCTTAATGCCATGAAATCCGAAATGGACTCTATGTACTCCAACAAGGTATGGACCTTGGTAGATCCACCCGAGGGAATCGTTCCCATAGGCTGCAAGTGGATCTATAAGAAGAAAATTGGAGTAGATGGAAAGGTATCGACCTACAAAGCTAGATTGGTAGCGAAGGGTTATACTCAAAAGCAAGGAGTTGACTATGAGGAAACCTTCTCTCCAGTTGCTATGCTTAAGTCCATTAGGATTTTGCTGGCCATCTCTGCGTGGTATGACTACGAGATATGGCAAATGGATGTGAAGACCGCTTTCCTTAATGGGGACATTGAGGAAGAAATTTACATGGCGCAGCCGGAAGGCTTCATATCTTCTGGAGATGAGAAAAGGTTTAAAAACTCCAGCGATCCATTTATGGATTGAAACAAGCATCCCGTAGTTGGAACAAAAGGTTCGACACAACTATCAAAGAGTTTGAATTTGTGAAAAACCCGGAGGAACCTTGTGTCTACAAGAAGGTTAGTGGGAGTGCAGTGACTTTCCTTGTACTTTATGTTGCTGTGAGCGTCACAAGCAGATATCAGTCCGACCCCGGCCCAACCCATTGGAAGGCTGTGAAGGACATTCTCAAGTACTTGCGAAGAACTCGAGATTTGTTTTTGGTCTATGGGGATACCGAGTTGAAATTAGAAGGCTTCACGGATTCTAGTTTTCAATCGGACGTGGATGACTCGAAGTCAAACTCGGGGTATATATTCAAAGTCAACGGGGGTGCCGTGTGTTATAAGAGTTCCAAACAAGGCACGACGGCTGATTCCACCACCGGGGCTGAATATATTGCAGCATCAGATGCTTCAAAGGAAGGGTCATGGATTAGGAAATTCATCCAAGAGTTGGGTGTATTTCCAAACGCTAGCGATCCAGTACAGCTGTACTGCGATAACAACGGAGCCGTAGCGCAAGCTAAGAAACCGAGAGCTCATCAGAAGTCGAAGCACATGTTGAGAAAATACCATGTGATCCGAGAGATCATAGAGAGAGGTAAAGTCAAGCTAGACAGAGTCACCTCTGAGGACAATATTGCAGATCCCTTCACCAAGCCATTGTCAGGATCAGTCCACGAGAAACATCGAGAGTCGATGGGACTTAGATTTATGAGTAGTTGGCTTTAGGTCAAGTGGGAGATTGTTAGAGTAGGTGACCAGCAAGCCAACTTGTGGCTGTGGTCTTTCTCTTTTTCTTGTGATAAATCGTTTTTCGTTCGTAATAATAAAACATTTCATTTGGCATTCTATATCTCTTATCCCATGCAAGCAGCATAGATATAGTCCTAACGAGTTACTCTATTACTGTGAGTTGATCTAGTAGAATCGTGAGATAACTCAACAATGTAATGTAACTGTTAAACATTGTTCCTAGTCGATGGGTTACGCCAATAATGAGGATACC